GTCAACTGTTCACTAACGTCAAGATACAATTATTATTTTTTAAAAGAACCATATTCTTATAATTTTGTTTATTATATCAACAACAACAACAAGAAAATTTATGTTTAATAAATAAAACAAAATAAAAAAAACCAAATCATAACAGTCAAATTTATTTATAAGAAAAGAATAAATGAATAGATTTATAAAAAGATTTTCAACAGAAAAAAAACACGTACAAACAAACTGATAGAAACGGATGGATGAGTGATTACAGAAACTAATTAAGAGATGTTGATAATAATAATAATAATAATAACAATAATAATAATAATAATAATAATAATGGTATTGTTGTAACTATTATAGTTATAATTCAATATAATATATAAACTTGATCAGAAAATGAGATTTTTATGGTAATTATAATAGGCGATGAAAGTTAGTGACAAGAATAATAAATCTAATCATATTATTAATGAGATCAATTTGAAAGAAACAATCAACTCTATTTAATTGTATAGATGTTTCTAATAAACTGAGAATCAAGTTATGAGATGGTGGATAAAATTTATAGCTCAGGTGGATGATTGTGTTGGTGTTTCGTTCTCTGAGCTAGATACTTTGATTGTGAAGCTTTCATTGTTCTTCTGAACAACATCATCAGCACAGACGTCAGACAGAAGTCTACCCGACCGTAGCTACTACCTTGACATGGTGGTCGGATTGCCTATTGTGATGACCCAATCGAGTTATATTGGCTGAAACATATGTTCCTGTAGGTTCTGTCATACCAGGCACGTCGATTGGAGAACGATGGGACTAAAAGCAGCTACACAAGGTCTGAGGGCGAAGTCGTACTGCTGACTTCAGAGGGGTGTGACAGCAGCAAGGTGTTTCCCTTGGGCAATCAGCATCTGAAGCGATGCTGCTCCCTCTCAAGGAAGGAATAGGTTAGAAAAGGTCGACCCTAAAATGTTACACCTCACCCTACCTCACGGATTTCCGGCTCCGACGGTAAGAGTGCCCATTAAGGGCTTGTAAGAGCGAAGCTAGTACTCAAAAATCCATTCATAAAAGGCCGTGCGTGACCTGCCTCAAGAAGTTGTACCTTAGACTATGCGGTCACGCTCCCAGGTCCCTAAGACCAATACTAATCTACCTTCCTTTTCAGGTTCCTGCAGAAATGCATTTCCACGGTGTAGGCAGCCTGGAAGTGATATCTACCCTCATACCCGTAACAGCACATGAGACCAAATTGGTCAAAATCAAATCCTTCCTACACACCCTAGTACCTCTCTTATCTCCACGACTAACTCTTCTCACATTCCTTTATCACACTGCACAGCTAATGCAAACGATGCGAGTTCACGAAACGTTATCCCTGGTCTCCTGAAATACCGTTCTAAACTACACGTTCGAGCATTTAATGTACGGACATTGTGTCAAATAGGGCAACAGGCTTCCTTAGCTAGGACTTTAGAATCTCGTGCCATCGATGTATGCTGCGTCTCGGAAACGCGCATACAGGATCCGAGTCGCGTCATACACTTGGCCACACCATGTCAAAATAAAGAAGCAGCTCGATTTACTCTTCGTGTATCCGGTAGCCCTGATGCTGATTCCCGCGGTCTTGCTGGCGTAGGCATAGCATTGAGTCGTAGGGCAGAACAATCTCTCCTTGACTGGATCCCTGTAGATAGTCGCTTGTGCGCCGTCCGACTAAACGGGGCAGTAAGGACTCGAAAAGATAGGGACACTCGCTGTTGCCTCTTCGTCATATCTGCCTACGCCCCCACTGACTGCAGTTCAGACGAGGTGAAAGATGAGTTCTACAGAAAGCTTTCGGATCTCCTCCAAAAAGTTAGGCACCCTGATATAATAATAATGGCCGGTGACTTTAATGCTCAAGTAGGTAGACTAA